TGGTGGCAGAGTTAATTATCCCAGGCTTCTGACTCACAAGTCCATACTCTATTATGTCCCATTGATTTATATATTGATTGTTGTTTTAGTATCTGATAAGTATAGCAATTTAACAATTGATTTTAAGTTTTATTCTTGTCCTGACTGTTCTTTTTCTCTCATATAAATCTGAATTGATGCACAATTCCCCAAAAATAAAACACCCCCACGTAGCCTTTGGATAAAAAATGTTTTACACATATAAAAGTGGCACCTTATCAATATCAAATCTTCCTGTTCAGGAATACTGTGTTTTTAATGAAATCCACTGACTTGAAATCTGTAGAAATTATCCCAGGCTTCTGGCAATAAATTATTAGTCCCTAGTTATAGTGTTCTTAAGTGACTTCATCTTTTATGAATTCTCATTGGACACGTAACCTTGATCTCACGAACGAGGAATACTGGCAGGAGATGATTTAAAATCTGAACCAAATTTTCTGCTTCTTCAGTTAGAATACTATGCAATTGAATGTCAAGAAAAAATTACAGAAGCTGGGGTTGTGGCCCAGTGGTACAGCAGTTGCCTAGCACGTGTGAGGCACTGGGTTCGATCCTCAGAAACACATAAAAATAAATAAATAAAAGTACTGGGTCCAATTACAAATAAAAATAAATATTAAAAAAAATTACATAAATCACTCATAGCAATCTGGAAAGCAATATTATTACTGATAAATGAATTAAAGTCCACTATACTCCCAACTTTTAATTATTCTTGTGATTGCCAATTAGAGTTTATTCTCAAACAGAGATGGGTAAGGAGAAAGAATAAATTTTCACATAGGCTATGAGTCAAAAGGAGACTCCTTTGGTTAACTGAGGGAGAACTATTCACACGGAAAACCTGGGTTTTTGGGCTGAAGCTTATTAAACATGCACTGAGCATTTGTTATATGACAGATTCTTGCATGAAAGACAACTTATCTCCTCCTAAATAATACCAGAGCAAAAGGAAGTCAGTCCCTAAACCCAAAGACAATCCAAAGGCAGTACATACCCTCCCTTCTGGATTCTTATCAGGGTGGTACTTCTGTGCAAGTCTGAAGTAAGCTTTTCTAATCTTGCTTTCATCATGCCTGTTAAACAGGAAAATTGTTTTTATAAAGTATGAGGAAAAAATGTTTATACAGTCATACAGTGATGTTTTAAGAATCTATTCAGGAATTTTATGTGATCATGTATTAGTCATCAAATTAAACCCAGTAAGACTTAAATAGAATTATTTCTTATATGTTATCTTTACAAGTGAAAGATATAACCTAAAAGTTCCCTGTGTAAGGTTATCATTCCCTTTAAATTATAAGACTATATTTGGGGTTTGATGAACTAAAATACATTTCTATAAACCTACTAATTTGCGAAAATGTCCAAAATGCCAATTTACTCTTCTTTAAGCTGCTATATTAACATTGCTGAGAATGAACAAAAACTTTAGTTTGTATTTAAGAAAATGTCTTGACACCATTTTTCCCTAACATTTCTAGTCTACTACAAATTACTAAAATAAATCTGCATTCTTTTCTAATCCATCATTTAGTGTTCTAGGCCTACTGCTATCAAATCTCTTCTTCATGCATAAAACAAATTGCAAGAGAAAGGAGAAAAACAAATATATGAGTGAGTAGTATCATATCTCAGATAACAGTGTGAGGTACTCTGCCTAGATTATTTGAATTAATAAAAAACCAGAAAGAACAGAAGAATGCAATTTCACATATTAATAAACTGTAATATGTGAAAGTCAAACATAAGTCTGTAGTTAATCCCAATTATGTATGTCAAAGAATAGACAGAAAAATTAAAAAATGGTTGGTTTAAAATATAATTTCACCTTTGATATTAGAATTTTAAGGTAAGGCAGACATTTATTATTGTAATAACTGAAAACAACTCACGTCCCCTGTCCTTGAGGCAGATTAAGCACTTCATAAGCATCATCTATTGACATCATGGGTGGCTTCTTTTCTACTTCCTTCTTCCAGGCATCAAGCGTATCTTTTAGAAGCTTGACCTTAGAGACACAGGATTAAAGTTTATATTGACTAATGTACAACTATTACCAAATATAACTTTTAAGTTATAAAATACTTGATGTAAATCACCATTTTTACACTATCCAATCAATAGCTTTCTTAAATACAAATAACTAAAAACTATCTTCTTACCATTGTAACATTTAGGTAGCAATATATTTGTTTCAAGGCTATTTCCTCTATCTTTAAGTGATTTTTAAATCTCTGCCAATTTGTGCTTTTATCCTTAATGTTTAAAGAAACATTCAGAAAATATGGAAAACTCTGAAATACGAAAGTAGTATACTGCAGTATGCTTCTCAAGATGATCTAACAATTACAGGTATGCTGGCATTCGAACAAATGTAAAGGATAGCACACTCAAAGGAGCTGCTATTGAGTGGGAAGAAATGCACTAATATTTACTGCACACTGTATGCCAAAGAGCTAGGTGCTTTACATACTACAGAAAATTTGATTCTTATATAAAATTTCAAGAACACATCATGAGATTCTGAGAGATAGATGCATGTGTCCTAGTTAATAAATGGTAGAAGTGGATTCAAACCTAGGTCTGACTAAAAAGCCTTTACGTTTTGTATCATTTCATTTTGAATCCTGAACAAGTTCCAGAGTCTATTTATCTTTATGAAAGCACCATGAACAGGCAGTGACTTGAGGTACAAAAATGGCAATTGATCTGAAATCTTTTAATAATAATGGTAATGATAATGATATAATTTCTGCTATAGTAATAGAACAACATGTCATCCAGGCCTACTTTATTCTTGGCTCCCCAAAGATTTACAAGGACTCAGGTTAATGGGGTTCCAAGGACACCATGGATGGACAGATAACACCTACTGCTATACAAATAATCAGGTCACATTTACCGTTATTTATGTGTGCCAGGAATTATGCTTAATGAATTCTCAATCTTCACAACCATCATCAGAGACAACTGTTACTATTATTGCCATTTTATTTTTTACTTTTTCTTGTACTGAGGATAAAACATGGGGGTGCATTACCACTGACCTAAATCTCCAGTTCTTTTTATTTTTTTAGAGAGGGTCTTGCTAAGTTGCTAAGGCTGGCCTTGAACTTAGAATCCTCCTGTCTCAGCCTCCCGAGTCACTAGCACTAAAGGCATATGCCACTGTGCCCAGCTATTACTGCCATTTTGAAGATGAGACCTGAAGCTTGGAGAAATAAGGTAATGTTTTAAGCAGAGCTATTAATGGCCAAGCTGAACTCTGACTCCAGCACCCAGGAGCTTGATCAATCTGCTAGAAAGGTAAGCTTCCGCCAAACTATTATAGCATTATTGTGTTATACACACGAAGTTTGTTCTGTCTTTGTTATACAGGTTCAAAATCCTAAAGTTCTTAATACTCCCTCAAAATATTACCTTTTGGTTTGAGATTTGTCTAAGTACATTAAACACACTCAGAGTTATTCTGTTAATATTAAGTCAGTTATCCTGACTTAGTATTAAGTTAATTAATATTAATATCCTTTTTTATCACAGGTGAAACAACTACCCAGAAGTGTTAGGAGGTTGTTTGTGTGGTTTCAGAAGGCACACACTGAACTTACCGGGTCTTTAATTGGCCAATCTGGAAATCGGAGTGTATCACAAAGTTGTTTGAGGTAATAAATATTACAAAATAGTTCATTTTCTAGCTGTGGATAGTTGATAACTGGGATGGGACAATACTGATAAAGTGCTCTTGTATTACTCTGAAGACGAGGTGTGAAATCAGCAAGATGGGCAGCAATTTTCTCTATCATGAGGCGCCTACAATCATAGAAACCTCCATTCAATCATTCTGATAGAATTATCAAACTTTAAAGAGAAGCTTAAGATAGGTCAGCATAAAAGATACTTTCATGGATCTTCTCTAGAATAACTCAATTACTGGCCTAATATTATAGACTCAAAGTAAGTTACTCAAGGTATTCTAATCTTATTGTGTAAAAATACTCAATAGAAACAAAATTCTTATTTACCTATAAATATCAGCAATTTGCTCAGTTCTATTAAAACAAATCAGTCACTACAAGGTCAAATGGCATGGTGTCTGCATGCATGAGGATTCAGAAAGGAAAGGCAAGCTTACCATCATTCCAAAGAAGCTCATTATATAGTATTTATGTTAATTAACTTCCTACAAGTTAATAGGATAAGTAGAAAATTGATTTGGTCAATGTACATAGAGATTCATCTTTTAGATGGGGACTCAGCCAATCTCAGAAGAAAAATATTACACAAACAAAACTGTGCTGCTACTTTATTCATATTCATATAATATGTATTTTTCCCAGTGGAAAATATGAATGCTACACAGAATACATTAAAACTAGTGGCCACTATGAGACAAGCCGATAGGTCACTCTACCCCAGAAGTTTAATAATTACCAGCAAGTGGCATGGAGTATGAAGAGGTGTGAGTAACTCAGATCACATGCCATCTAAGGAAAGAGCACTAAGGGCTTCTCCACAAATAAGCAGTCTTGACCCTGGACCTATGAACTGTCAAGTCCTTCCTGGACAGAGCCTAGTTAGTCACTGCCAACTAATTCTGTGCCTTTCCCTTTTCTGCATTTCCACAGGCTTCTCTTATGGCATTCCATTACTTAGCAATGCAAGCCCCTCAATAAAGGTCAAAATGTGCTGGCTAGGAGCCCTCAATCTGAATCTATTTTGGGTATCTTTGGTCTGATCCATTCTATGTGGGCATAGTTTATAATCAATGGAGTACAATCCTATTTCCAAGCATCCAAGAGATATGTTTTGATTTTATTGCTAATTATTCCTACATATATATCATCAGTTTGCTGCCTAAAATCTTACAAGCTATATCAACTGATTTAAGAAGCATTAGTGGTAGGAGGCCATACTCTTACATAAAGCTCTATTAAGGTAACAGTAGTTTTGTCAAATCATGTCAGAACAAAAAGCTTAAGGCCTTGTCAAAACCTATCACTTGATTTGGTACCAACAATTAACTGTTGTTTTATGTTAGCAAACTAGTGAAACATTTCTTTCAGTAGGACTCAAACCAGATGACCAGCAGCAAAGATTCTGGGTACAAAATATAACTGATTATTTACCTCATTTCACTGCTCCAGATTGCTTCTGGTGTATCAAATTCTCCTAGAAAAGTCTCAGAAAATTTTTCAGGTTCATAATTTTCTAAGTAACAAACCATTGCTTCAGGTAGGATGTGCCCAAGTATACTTCTCTGAAAAATATCTTGTCCTTTTGTCTTTAAAACAAAACAAAATGTAGTCAGAAACACTAAAGTTCTCTTTCAATTTTCTGATAATGAATATGATTAATGAGCACTGTAGGAAAGAACACACTGCAACAAAATGCTTCTATGCTTTAGCAAAATGTGAAGTTGAACATGTGGGGCAAATTGACTTGGCATGAGCTCCAAGGTAAAATGGAGAAGCCCCCACCTTGCTGCAGTCTTAACCTTCTCAACATCAGCTGCAATTGCTGTTCAGGACAGCATGTGACCCTGTGGAACAGTAGTGAACAACACAAGGAAGGTCCCCTGAAGACTGATATCAGGTATTTTGCATAACATTGTTGGCTACAGTTCCTGTGTATCTGCTGCTTCTGTTTTCAAAAACAAGTTCAGAAGATCTTAAAGATTTTAAAGAGGTCATCTCATGAAATGTGACTAGGAGTTTGATGGAGAATTTCTTCTCAAACTAATTATAATTAACTGTTTTGACAAGTTCATATCTTCAGGCTGGCCAAATGGAGTCAGGCTAACGATCCTAATTGTCATAACTAAAAATTTATACTCTATTTACCTGATCGAAAGAAAATTCTAAAACTATAAATTTTCCTTCTTATCTTCTTCTATCTCCTTCTAGTTTAAGATGTTTTACTTCTCCAGGATAGGACAGATGGGGGAATACACTTAAACATGGCTTTACAACTTAGTACAAAGATAAATTAGGCAACAAAAATCTTCATGTTTTTGTTAATAAAAGAAATTCACTATCTGTTAAACTTTTGTGTGAAAATCTGCTCATTCTGTTTTCTTATATATATTTATTTTTTAATTGTAGTTGGACACAATATCTTTATTTTTCTTATTTTTATGTGGTTCTGGAGATCGAACCCAAGATCATGCACGGGCTAAGTGAGCATTCTACCTCTGAGCCACAACCCCAACCCCCACCCCATTCTATTCTCTATTATCTGGTAATTTCTGCATTCAGAATTTTGCTATAAATACTATTCTGCTGTAATTATTCAAAATACTTAGGTAAAATTGTATGTATAATTTCTCATACAATATTTGAAGATTACACATGTACTACTGCACAGAAATAAAGGAAAAATAGAGAATACCCCAAATGCCTAATACCATGTTAAGGTAGTGTCATTACAGACAATTTTTATAAAACCTTTTTTATATTTTCATTTTTTTTTGTTTACACAGAGCTATGGGAATTATACTGCCATGAGCATCACTTTATATTATTAGACAAATGGATTAATTTTTAGGGCTTCAATGGCTATTCTATAAATCCTACAGTTTGGTTAGTACCTACTGTCAAAGTGGTGTAACAGTCTTGATTAGTCTCCTAAACAAACATTTGAGAACATGTGAAAAATTGGGAAACTTCAAAAAAGAAAGTGAGTGCTTCTTCTACCTTGGGATCTAAACAAAAAGAATCTTAGCCAACTATATGAGATTGAAGTACTTAGTGAAATATTTATAAAAAATCATTAATCTAAATCTTAAAGAGAACAACTTATATTCACAGAGGTATCAGTATATAATTCCTAGCTGCAATTTCAATATAAGTCCAAAAGACTTATGTTTTCAAAAAGCTTAAAAGAGTTTAGCTTAGTTTCTGTCTGCAAGGAACCACAAAGAATGTACAAGGATGAATAAAATAGGTCTTCCCTCAGGTACTTGTAGTACCCTAAGAAGCAGACATATTCAGGAAACTATGGAGCTTACTCGGGTATTAAGTATTCAGAGGTTAAATTGGCTTACCTCCTCTGATTTGAAAGCCTGTTTGGTATGTGTGTATTTCAAAAACCTAGAAAGAAAAATAAATCACTTGTCAGATATAGGAACTGATTTGGTTTTAGTGATCTTGGGTTTCTAAAGATTTGATCTTTTATAGGTTAAAAATAGTCAGAAAGACAATTCATAAATCCATATTCCCAAATTATTCAATTTCTGATTAAGAACTTAAATGTGCTAGAAAGACTTTTAAAGTGTGGTCATATTAAGGCTATGTAACAATATGAATATTACTGGGTATTTGTAAGAAAATGAAATGTAAAACTGCATGTATAATATGAATGTAGTTAATTAAACATATATTAAAATACTAGATGACAAATTCTTATATTAGATGTGGTAAAGTGGTACAATTCTGACTAATTTTCCCCATCCTACTTTCCAAATTTTAGTGTAGCTATGTAGTTTTATCATAAAAAATTAAAGCAATGATAAGTAATGATAAAGTTCAATACATAAATCTGCCTATGGTTAATTCAGATAATGTTTAACATAAGTTATCTTTAAAGTTCTTACCGAGCAACAGGAAGCACATTGGAACCAGTGTACATCATGATAAAGAAAAACACTCCACTCAGATAAAGACGAGGTAACTGTGGGTTATCTTGCATGATATGGTATAACAAAATAGCAACCTTCTCAACAAGGATAGGGTCAAACGTCAGCAGTAACTGAAGACAGGAATTAAATGTTCTGGTTAATAAGTTATAAAAAAATTGCAATATCATTATTCATTTTACACACACACACACACACACACACACACACACACACCCTAACTTGAGGTTTATTGTTTCTTATGTAAGTTATAAAAATTCATGCAATTCAGTAAGCTTATCTACCAGACTCAAGTCAGATTTGAAAAATGATTTATTCTAGCCAGGTACTATGGTGCACAATTGTAATCTCAGTGGCTCGGGAGGCTGAGACCCTAAGCAACTAGCAAGACCCTATCTCTAAGTAAAATATAAAAAAGGGCTGGGGATGTGGCTCAGAGATTAAGCACCTTTGGGTTCAGTCCCTGGTTAAAATAAATAAATACATACACACACACACACAGGTGTGTGTGTGTGTATTCACTGAAACATTTAGTGGAGATAGCAAAATATTAATTGAAAGTTGATCAAATCATATTCAGAAAAATCCCTAATATGCCTATAGCTAGTTTTGTCATAATTTTACAAGTAAAATTGCTTCCTGTTTGAGAATGTTCCTAAATATATTTTTTTCTGTTAATGATAAAAGAAAAAGGAAAAAACAAAACAAAAAAAATTAACTACATGTTTAATTTTGGTTCAACTGAGTTAATGTGAAGAATCCTCTGAATGCTACTTAAGAACTCAAGAAGCAGAGTATTGAACACCTATTGATGAAATGGCACTACAAAGTAGATTTAGGAGTGGTGCTAAAGGCAAGAGGCTAAAACAATTACTAGAAGCAGCACACAGTACTACTTCTACAAGTACTGAAAGATGTTATCTCTAGAAATCTGAACTAGAAATACTGAAGGAAATATGATATCACTATCATGAATCTGGGGTAACTCTAAAACCAAACAGAATAAACAGCTGATAAAAAATTGTAAAAATTTTATCTCTGAAACTTAAACTTAATAAAAGTGGTACTCTATTTTCTTTAAATAGTTGCTTCCAAATAATCTCCAATTTGGGGTCAAACTTTACCGGGGGGGGGGGGCGAGAAACAATGAAGAAGTACGAAGTTCTAAATCCAAATTACAGGTGCAAAGTTTTTTAAGTAAACAATATAAATTTTTGGTGTGTTTGGTGTCTTATCTATTTATCAAAGTATTTAAGTATTTAATACTATGAGATACTTTACAAAGAAAAAAATTAAGAAAGTAGAACACAGAATTTTCTCTAGTAGAGTTCAATATTTGATGTTGTGGAAATTATCAAACAAAGCTCAAAGTATTTCATGTTGTCACTATGCCAGAAAACTCACTGCATCTTAGAACACTCTAAAAATTTGAAAGCTGTATCATATAGTCAAACTGGTGACAATTCTTGAAGTCAAATGAAGTACAGAAATCCCTTTCCAAATGTAAATATTGTTTCTGAAAACTACTACCTGTGTTTTAGCAAGACTATGGTATGTGAGAATATAGAAAATTAAGGGGGAAAAAAACTCCAAAGAAACAATTTTTAAACTCAGTATTAAAAATATAGAAGGCATATGCTATTAAAAGCTAGAAATGTAAGTAATTCTTCTATCATTTTGTTCATAAGGTGCTAAAAGTTTCTGGTTAATGAAAACATACACTTCTCCATCTCCTCCCAAGCTTCATGTTATAGTGCTATATTTCTTAAAATCTTTTCAGTCATTCCCTTCTGGCCTTAAATTTAATGCTATTTGCATTTACTTTATTCTTTTCAGTTTCAAGACTCTTGGAAACATGTTTGGGAGATGCTAATTTTCTGAGTATGACATTTTATCTAATGTTGAGAAGGACCTATACAGAAAACAAGTCCCTCCAACATACACAGTCACATAGTCCTGTGGGTGAGATGGTAGTGGTTTAAAGAAATAATTACAGTGCTTTTTCATATAAAGATCTTAAAAGAAATGTCCACATAGAAAAGCATACAAATTTTTAAATGTTGGTATGCTTAAATAACAACAGTTAGAAGAAAAAAAAAAACAACTGTATTCTTGTACATGACTTTTTCAGTATCAGTGATTAACACAAGCACTTAATAGTAATACACGAATATAAGAATATATACATTGAGTCATTATCTCTTGCATACTAATATACAAATGGTACAAATTACTAGCAATGCTCTTAAGTCAACCATGAGTAGTTAAGGTCTAAAAAATTAGATTTGACAAAAATAATTAATAGATAGGAGGGAAATGACTACCTATGAAATCTCTGGGACCTGATTTGTCTAATCCTGAGTTTAGGTAACTTAATTTGAAAAGATTAGAAGAATGCAGAAGAAGAAAAAGAAAAATGTCTTTAGTAAATCCTATATAATTCCAACTCAATTCTTTGAATCATCAGTTGCTACACACAAAAACATGTAACTGAGAACAATCAAAATCTGAGGCATGTGCTAGCTTATCTGTTAAGGCATAAGCCTCCATGTCTTTCTGTGGCAGGAGCCAGGAGTTAATATCAAACTGCACTACAAACTATAAAGCACCTTTTAGTTATCAGAATGAAACAGACTATAATAAAGATGAGGATGCATAATAAAATTAAATAAGAGAAAATAATTCTTAAAATACTGTTCCTAGTTCAATAACACAAAAGGAACTCACCTGAATAATGTGGGGAAGGCAAGTGCTATCTGATAGTAGTCTTTTCACTCTGGGTAAAGGCCGAATAATGGCATTATCTTGATCCCTAGAAAATATTTTCTATGGTTAACATTTAATATATTTATTAAAATTTGTATGTTCAGAGCGTTCTTCTAGGCATGAAGCAAGTTACCTTACTTTTTTGTTAATGAAGACTAAGCTCTCATACAGCTGGGAACATGATTAGATATTTTGGTTTAAATCTATTTGGCTGCTTAATATGACTTCATATCCTTCCATAAGATTTCCTTGAAAAACAGTACCCTAGAAGAGCCAAAGACTCTTATTTATTATTTAATTGATTAAACTTTGTGTTGTCCAACACATTGTCAGTGGATAGACCCCCCCAAAGGGCATATCAAACTTCTGTCACATAAATCTAAATTTTAATTTAACTATAGTCAGTATTTTTCAAATACAGACTTAATTTTAATGCCATATTACTTCTACATACTGGTTGTATAGTTTTGAGTCTAGTCTAATTTTTAAAGAGAACTAGAACCATGAATACCTTCAGTGTCATAAAATATGTGACATTTTTTCAGTAATTTCCATCACAAGGTAGTGTAGTAATAAAAAGATGTATATGCAAGTATTTTATACACACTGAAAAGTTCTGTGCAAGAGTTATGACTGCCATAGGAAAATATATCCTTACCTTCACTAGTCAAGTAGAACGAGGTGTGGGCCTAGAAACACTGCTACACCAGGAATGCTGACATGACAGATAAGGAACTCACCACTGACTATGGACTATAGTATATCTATTTCAAATTATTCATACCTAATTCACATAAAAATTATTACCAGCATAGCTGGTAGGTCTCAGGTTTTATTTGAAATTTCCCACAGAAGGTTGCTTTTCAGTTACTTTACCAATAATTTCCAAAGTATTTATTCTTTTATATCTGTTTCAAAAAGTTCTAAAGGCCAAAGCAGCACTCCCCCAAGGCCACAAATAGGACACCTATGTTTTAAATAGCCAGGGTAATCCCATGATGTTACTGAAGAAGTATCCATACAAATGAGAAAAATAAGATATCTCTGGGTGCCCTGTAAATCATTAAAATATTAATTATATTTTACCTGCTTGGAAAATATCCACACATTGTGATCAACATGTTCAATATGAGGGTAGCAAGATCAGTTTCATTCAAAACAGCCTGTCCACTGGCTAACAGACACCACTTAAGCTGGGGTATTGCCTGAAGTGGTCGCCATCCATCCATGCCTTGAGCCCAGCATCTGGTTTTTGCATTTAACATTCCTTTGGTCCACAATTCTTGCATCTTAATTGATTAAAGGCATCATTATTACAGACAGACAAAATAAAATGAAAAATTTGCCAATATTAATCATAGTAAATACATATGAAAGTGGAAGACACTATAAAATAGCAATACACTATCACTGAAATATACTGTGAAATAAACATCCAAGTTCAGTATTAAAAAAAAAAGATTTTGTTGATAAGCTTTTAGGAATCCAAGTTTGGCTAATAATAGGAAAAAAAAAACATTTAGTTGGTCAATTGCAGGATACTAGAAAGAGTAAAAATGACCAATTTTGTAAGAGAAAAAGGCATGGCCTCCAGAAAACCATCTTTGGCCAATTTCCCACTGAGCCAGAAAGGCTGAGGATGGGAGATCAAGATCAAATATTGCAGATGCAAAGTGAAACTACCATTAGTTCCTGAACTGAATAGGCAATGTTCAATATTCAATGTTAAGAGTACATATTAAAACTTACTTGTTCATACCACTGATAATAGTTGACATAATTATTTAGAAATTGGTGCTAGGGATGCAGAATGCTTGCTTATCATGTGGCAAGATTCAAAACAGTATCAAGAAGAAATAAAAAAAGGAAAGAAATACAACAACAGACAATAGAGAGCAATTGTTACATAGAAATTCATTAAAAACCTGAGTGTTACCTCCCTAACAATAGTTTTTAAACAAGACTTGAAGACACAATTGTGTATGCATGTGAGCTTCTCCAAAAATGCAAGCCATCTACTCCTTCCCATATAAATGGGATACAGGGCCCTTAGAACTGACAACAATATTATACATCACTGTGTGCTAAGCAAGAGGGCAAAAGAAAGGTGGAGACCTTCACAAAAAGCTTCTCTAAAACATGTACCTCATGAAATCCATAGGGGCCACTCCTTTCTTTATCTGCATTGCCAAAATACCATTCCTTTTCACTCTCTCTCTTCATGTCTGGAGCAGCTTCAATTACATTGCTCTAAATTTTAAAAAGATTTCAGTTATTTTGCAACACAGAAATCTAAGGGGGCACACATCATAAAACAAAATTTGGGGGTTTATTTCCCATTTGGAACTCAATTCAAAAGTTTAAGTAACATTATTTTAATATTTAAGAATTAAATAAATACTTAACCAAATAACCAAAAATAGCTACTTCCTAAAATGCATCTGAAATAAATGTTTTCCTAAATCCATTTATCAATCTATATTAAATTCAAAATATTCACACTTCCTATGCTTATTAATAAGTTTTCAGGATACTAAAGTTTTAGTAGCATTCTGCAAGTGGTTAAATAAATACCATTAAAACACAATGCTCAAAATATTACAGGTTATTTTGAGGAAAAAGCTCACTCTGACAAGAGTTTCAATAAGCATCTGAGATCAAAGAGTTGAAATGCTAACAAAAGTTTAGTGGTTTTAAATATTTAGTTTCAATTCATTACCTGCACTACTATTAAAATGAATTAAGTCTGAACTAAAGCTGCCTTCATACATAATTTAGGTTTGTCCTAAACATTTCTCAATATATACTGAATAGTAATTTAACTTGATGCATAAACATACTACAATCCACTCTTATGAAAAATAACCATCTCAATCACAACTTTAGTCAACCATAGCTAAGCAAATGTTCAAACATGCTCATATATAACAGATGCAAACTGTAATCAACTGAGCTGTTTCTGTACCCAACTTCCATTTTCTGTATGTTACTTCCTTTGCCCTGGCTATAAGTATAACCTGCCCATCTGGTGGTACAGAGCATCTTGAACCATTTTTGGTTTAGACTATAGCTCAATTCTAGAATCACATGTAAAGCCAATTAAAATCTGCAAAACTAGATTGACATTTTCTTTTTTAACACTACAGATAATTCTTATAATTTTCTCTTTCAGTGTTTGATGAGGCTAGAATGTTATTTTTATGGGATTATTTTTATTGAATTATAATTATATAAAATTATGGAATTCATTATGCCATATTCATACAAGCACAAATGGATCAATCTCATTCTCTAGTATCTCCCTTTCTCTTAACTCCCTCCCGATTCCCTTGCTCTGCTCCAATGCCCCACCTATTATTATTTAAATGATGCATTATAACTGCATATAAAAGTGAAATTCATGATGGTATATTCATACATGAATATATCATAATTTAGTAGATTTTGTTTTCTAGGACTTCCACACATCCTCCTTCCTTTTCTCCCTTTTCTATCTCTGTATATAATCTATTAGTTTCCCTTCTATTGTTGTGAGATCCTTTTTTTTACTCCTTTTCTTTTTCTTCTAGCTTCCACATATGAGAGAAAACACTGATGTTCTCTAGTTCCATCCATTTAACAGCAGATACCATGACTTCATTCTTTCTTATGGCTGACAAAAACTACATTGTTTGTATATACCACATTTTATCCATTCATCTGTTGATGGGTACCTGGGCTGGTTTCATAACTTGGCTATTATAAATTGCGCTGCTATAAATATTGATATGCCTATATTATTACAGTATGCTGAGTTTAGTTCTTTAGGATAAATACAAAGGAATGGGATAGCTGGGTCATACAGTGGTTCTATTCCTATTCTTTTGAAAAATCTTCATACTGTTTTCCAAAGTGGCTGTACTAATTTGTAGTCTCATCAACAATATATGAGTTAACTTTTCCCCCCACTTTCCTGCCAGAAATTTCATGTAGTTAGTGTATTTTAGTACAACATGGTTTTAAAATACCCTCTTAACTATCAGTTTCCAGTTAGATTCACATAGAGAAGTACAGCAACATGGTTAAGAGGACAGACTTCTGGGATCTGTCATTCATAACCTTTGGCAATGTACTCAATTCTCTCTGTCCCTCAGTTTCCTCACTGTAAAATGGGAAAATGATGGTAACAACATAATAAAGCTATTGGAGATTTAAAGTGTAAATGTATTACATGTACTAGAATAGGTCCTGAATAGAATAGCATATATAAGCATTATGATTTTTGCCTATTCACACCTGGTAACAGAAAAAGCTCACATTCTAAATATTCATCAGAAGTTTTCGTCACAAAACAAAATCCAAATCCAAAAATCCCAACTCTAACATCTCCTTACACCAAGAAATTAAAACTAAAAAACAATAACAAAAACAAAACAAAACACAAATCAAAACTGGAAGGAAGGAAGGAAGGAAGGAAGGAAGGAAGGAAGGAAGGAAGGAAGGAAGGAAGGAAGGAAGGAAGGAAAAAAATAAATCAAATATGCTAAGTACAGATGCCTTTTTTTTTTTTGGTATTAGGGATTGAACTCAGGGGCACTCAGCCACTGAGCCACATTCCAAGCCCTGTTTTGTATTTTATTTAGAGACAGGGTCTCCCTGAGTTGCTTAGCACCTCACTTTTGCTGAGGCTGGCTCTAAACTTGTAATCCTTCTGCCTCAGCCTCCCGAACCACTGGGATTACAGACGTGCACGACTGCATCCAGTCCAATCCCTTTTATAAACTAGATATCAAAAAAGCCATTTAGTAGATCAGAAGTTTTATTCTCTTGGTTGGATTACAATAAGGCCTCAAGGTTCCTTAAGGCAAAGCATACAGAGAAAGCATTTGACAAAAAACAGCCATTCATTTAAAAATAATATATTTTTAGTTGTTGATGTACATTTATTTGTTTATTTTTATGTGATGCTGAGGATTGAACCAAGTGCCTCACACATGCTAGGCAAATGTCTGCCACTGAGCCACAACCCCATTCAAATTTAAAACACAAGAAAAACTAGGGACAGAAGGAATATACTTCAACATTGTAAAAGCTATATATGACAAACCCAAGGCCAAAATCATTCTAAATGCAGAAACACTGAAATCATTCAGTCTAACTCAGGACATTCAACATAGTCCTTGAAACTCTAGTTAGAGCTATTAGGTAAAAGAAAGAAATTACAGGGATACTAATAGGAAAAAAGAGCTCAAACTATCTCTCTTTGTCGACGACATGATCCTATATTTAGAAGACTGCAAATACTCCACCAAAAAATTTCTGGAACTCATAAATGAATACAGCAAAGTAGCAGGCTACAAAATTAATCCCATAAATCAACTACATTCCTATACATCCATAATGAATCAGCTGAAAGAAAAAATAGGGAAACTATGCCATTCACAATAGATTTAGAAAAACAAAAAATACGTGGGAATCAATATAAGAAAAGAGATAAAAGATCTCTACAATGAAAACTACAGAACACTAAAGAAAGAAATTGAAGACCTTAGAAAATGAAAAGATCTCCCATGTTTTTGGATAGGAAGAATTAATATTGTCAATATGGCCAAATTACCAAAAGCCCTATAGAGAGTAAATCCAATTCCTATTAAAATTCCAATGTGATTCTTCAACAAAATAGAAAACGCGGTCATGAAATCCATTTGGAAAAATAAGAGGCCAAAGCAATCCTTAAGCAAGAAAAGCGAAACAGGAGGCATCAGAGTACCAGATCTTAAAATATTTTATGGAGCTATAGTAACAACAACAGCATGGTACTGGCACCAAAATAGATATGTAGACCAAAGGAATCAAATAGAAGACACAGAGTCAAACACACATAAACACAGTTATCTCGTACTAAATGAAGACATCAAAAACATACTTTGGAGAAAAAAGAGCTACTTCAATGAATGGTGCCAGGAAAACTGGAAATTCACACGTAACAGAATGAAACTGACTCCTATCTTGCACCCTGCAAAAAACTCAGCTCAAAGCAGATCAAAGATCTATGTATTAGACTAGAAATGCTGCACCTACTAGTAGAAAATTGTAGGCTCAATACTCCATCATGTCAGCTTAGGAACCCACTTCTCAACAAGACTCCTAAAGCACAAGAATTAAAATAAAAATCAATAATAAATGGGACAGCATCAAACTAAAAAGGTTCTTCACAGAAAAGGAAACCACCAAGAATGTTAAGAGAGGACCTACAGAACTGGAGAACATCTTTGCTATCTGCACCTCAGAAAAGGTGCTAATTTCTAGGACACACAAAGAACTGAAAAAGCGTTAACACCAAAAAAACAAATAACCAACAATAAATGGGGCAAAGGAACTAAACATAGAAGAAAAAATACAAACAGCCAACAAATAAATGAAAAAATGTTCAACATCTTTTAACAATTAAAGAAATGCAAATTAAAACTACACTGAGATCTCACCTCATTCAAACCAGCAATCAAGAACACAAGTAACAATAAATGTTGACAAGGTTGTGCAAAAAAGGGTACACTCATACACTGTTGGTATGTAATTAGTGCAACCACTCTGAAAAGCAGTATGGAGAGTCCTCAAAAAACTAGGAGTGGGACCAACATTTGATCCAGTTATTCCACTTCTCTCTACATATTCGAAGGATTTAAAATCAGCATAATGCAGTGACTCAGTCACATCAATGTTTATAGAAACACAATTCATAATACCTAAGTTACCAACCTAGATGCCCATCAACAGATGAATGGAAAAGAAACTTTGGTATATATAGACAAAGGAATATTACTCAGCCATAAAGAATGACTTTTATAACATTTGCTGGTAAATTGACCCGGAGACTATCATGCTAAGTGAAATAAGTCAATCCCCAAAAAACCAAAGGTTAGATGTTTTCTCTGATATGTGGATGCTAACACAAATAAGCAGGGAGAGGGGAAGAACAGAATAAGGGGCATGAAGGGAAGGGAGCGGGGATAGGAATAGGAAAGACAATGAAATGAATAGGACATTAACTTCCTATGTATATATATTAATACACTACAGTGAATCTCAGCATTTTGTACATCTATAAGACTGGGATCCTAATTAGAATAAGACATATTCCATGCTTGTATAAATATATCAGATTCTACTGGCATGTATAACTACAAAGAACACATAAAAAAGATTTGCTTTTAAAAAAAAAGCATATTTTCATTGTTGGTTGATTTTAAAATTTCTAGTCACATATTTGATGAATTCAGTTTAAAGCCTAAAGGTCACACTTTCTCAAAATAAGCCATATTAGAGATACAGTTACTTTAAAAGACAAAAGATATTGGAAAAATAAAACTGGATCATTTTTGTCCATTTCTGATTGTTGTTATAGTGATTTCACTTTTTTGATGTGAATGAATCTAGTAGATATTAATACTATCAGAATTATTGGAGAAATACTTTGTTAACCATTATGTATTCACATGTATTTAGACTTCCATGATTCTTTTGTCCCTAAAATTATATTCAAAGAATGCTTAGCTTTAAAAACCTAAACAAGCATACATACTTGGAGTGGTACTGTAGCTCGGCTCACATGGAGATGTGCTAGAGTAAGTAAGTCCACAAGGATTCTAATTCCATTTGAATCCATGAGATCCTTAACATTTTTCTGGAAAACATTTTTATATAATTTACAACCTTTCTGTTAAGCAGGTGCTGTCTAAGATTCTCAAAGAAGAGGATATTTGGAGTTTCTTTGAAAACTACTGACATGCAACAGGTATTACTTAGTAGTTTTAGGACTCTCTTCAGAGGACAGGATTTCAATAGATTTAAAGGGCAATACTATATATTATAAAGAGATCACAGCAAAAAATTCTACTAAAATATGTTCTGAGCAAAAAAAATATATATATATATATCCCCCACAAAAATAATATGAACAAATCACTATCCTGTCAAGGTCTTTTTGTTAATAAACAGATTATTCTATAATCAGAAATAAATCTGCTCTATTAAAAATCTTTTACAATTTTAGTTTTTTGAAAAATAAAAACTGATAATTTCTTAGAAGGAAGAAACTATAAATTGAAATTCTTAATTATATTTTCTTTTAAAACATTTGTATTACTAAAAGTGGTATTTGTTAACATAAATATCACAATAAAAGTGAGAATAAAACATGCAAATTTTAGTATCAAATTTTAAAGCACAAAAAAGTGCATAAACTTATTTCATCACCATGTAATTGGGAATTAATGTTGTATATTGCAATTATAATTTTTTTTTTAAATTTTGAGATAGGATGTCACTAAGTTGCTTAGGGCCTCACTAAGTTGCTGAGGCTGGCCTTGAACTCACAATCCTTCTGCCTCAGAGTCCTGATCTGCTGGGATTACAGGAATGTGCCACCACACCCAGCTACAATTATCAATTTTTTTCATGTGAGAAACCAGCATGAATCTACTAAAATATCTTAAAAAAAAAAAAAGGACTAAAATGATTCTCCAGTTTAAATCTTCAAATTGATCTTCATCATCAAAATATATACTGATAAATTCAATGTCCCATTTTATGTCAGGTATTTATTTACTTGAAATCTAATCTTAAAGTAAAATTGGTTAATGATGTTTCCTTCCGTACTCTCCACTCAGAATTTTATTATCATTATTTTATTTTGCACCTGCAATATTAGGGTAAATTTTCAGGGAATTGGCAAAAACTTCTCTCTCCAGAAGTTTAGTTTTCTTAACTCAAAAGAAAATAAGAACAGAACCATCTCTGGATAATTAACTCAACTGTGAGAGTTTATCTTTACATAACCACATGACTTGGAAAGGACAGTATATTTATGCAAAAATATTGTACCTTGTTAAGGATCAACTTGTTTAGAAAGAGGATCAATCTATCTCGTTCAAGTTTATCTGTGCACTATTGAAATAAATGAAAATTCAGTCAGGAGTAAATAGAAACACAAATTAAAAGATTACTACCACTTTATAAAACCAATTGACAATTCATAAGAAATATCTTTAAAAAAAGGAAAAAAATCATAGAAGCCTGTCTGATGTCTTATAGCCTTTATAATTCTATATAATAACTTATCTAATTTTCCTAGAAAAGAAATTTTAACTATATACTTGAATTAAAATTTCTAAAGAATTCGTAAATAATGTTACATATAAATATCATGTTGAATATAAACAAGGAGGAAAAATGTACTGGCTTAAATACAAATGGTATGCCAGAAGTCACTGGAATGAAGAGTGGACTGGAATTCAAGAGTGAAATTCAGTGTAACAGAAAACAGTAAGGATTTCTGTCCTAATTATGCCCTTCTTGTTGAGGAACCTTATTCAGATTCAGTTTTCTAACATACAGAGCATGGCTCACAGTTACACAACTATAATAAGCACAGATGATTATTTTTAAAAATTGGTAAAATAATCCTCTCTAAAGCAGTTCATTGAAATTTAAACTGTTAAATTAAGAGGAATACAAACAAATGAAGGTATGTACAACACATAACATGAATGAATGGATTAACCTGTTCTCCTACCATGTTCGAATGTTGAATGACAAATTGTATAAAATTATAAAACGAAAAAAGGGCTAATTCAAGTTCCCTCTTCTAATCATTACTGCAAGGTTCTAAAATTTTCATTTTCATACTTTTAAATTAAAAGATTGGCAAATAGATTGCTAAAGTTCTTCAAAAGTTATTTTAATAAAAATAAAAATAACCTGGCATGGACAAGTATTAATCTGGTCAAATTACTATTCAACAAAGTTAGATTTAAACGTGTTAACGTATAACTCATGCAGAAAGTCCCAGTGATTCAGTCTCCTTAAATGTTATCCTTACCCTCTCTAACATTCCAATGATGTATCTTGTGTCTGTAAAAGGTCCTATTTCTTCATGACATCTGCCATAAACAATAGCAAGGGCTTGTAAACATAAACACTTCATGTTTACTTTTGGAGTTAGAAGAAAGCGATGATAGAGCTCATTGAAAAATTCATACCTAGGTAAGAATAAATGGTCAATAATAGAAATAATCATGAAACCAATAGTGAAAACAAATATAAAAGGATATGAATATAGCTCACGATCTCTTAATTGATCCACTTTCTTCATTCTCATCTTCCTCCAATAGTAATCTCAGATAATAGTCTCCTATTTTGATTTCCTCTGCCAGGCA